TAAAGCTAATGAGAATATTGCAAAAAAAAATAAAAGTACAACAAGCTAAAGAAAATATGATGTGATTATTACCAATTTGAGTTTTCCCAGAATGCAAAGTTAGTTTAACATTCAAAAGTCAACCAAAGTAAGTCACTATTTTACAAAACAAAGGACAAAAATCATATGATTCAAGAAAGCAATACTTTTGAGATGCAATAAAAATTTGGATATAATCCAACATATGCTTATTAAAAAGTCAGGTTAGCAAATGGACATAGAAGCAAATTTTCTTAATATGAAAAGAGTCCTTTTTTCAAACATATAGCATATGTGTCATAATCATACATTAAATCCTTCCTGTCCACATGAGGAACAAGACAGAACACCAACTCTCACTGCCACTATCCCACATTGTATTTGAAACATCCAGTGCAATGCAATAAGAAAAACAAATAAAATATATATATTTTCTAATGAAAGAAACAAAATTGAATTTTATTCACACCTGATAGGTTTCATAATATCGAAATTCAAAGGAGTCTAACATTCAAATTATTAATTAGGTGTCTTGAGGCAAAAACAAGTAAAACATAGACATCTTAGTACTCAGTCCACAAAATACACAAAAATCAACTCCAGAGTGATTAAAGCAGTAATTGTTAAAAGCAAAATTCTAAGGATTTTAGAAGAAAATGCGGAAATATACTTTCCTAAACTAAGGAAACAATGCACAGCATAAACCAGACACTAGCAAAGAATTAAGGAAAAAGGAAAGAACTGATGAATTCAATAAATTAAAACTTAAAATATTAACTTGGCAAACAGACTGTAACAAGAGTGAAAAGACAAGCCATAAAGACAGAGAAAATATTTGTAATACATAAAATGCACAAAGGAATGGTATCTTGAATATTTAAATAGTTCTATAAATAAATTAGAATTTTAAAAGATAACTATGTCCTGGCTATTATAAACAGTGCTGCGATGAACATTGGGGTGCACGTGTCTCTTTCAGATCTGGTCTCCTTGGTGTGTATGCCCAGAAGTGGGATGGCTGGGTCATATGGCAGTTCTATTTCCAGCTTTTTAAGAAATCTCCACACTGTTTTCCATAGTGGCTGTACTAGTTTGCATTCCCACCAACAGTGTAAGAGGGTTCCCTTTTCTCCACACCCTCTCCAGCATTTATTGCTTGTAGATTTTTGGATAGCAGCCATCCTGACTGGCGTGTAATGGTACCTCATTGTGGTTTTGATTTGCATTTCTCTGATAATGAGTGATGTTGAGCATCTTTTCATGTGTTTGTTAGCCATCTGTATGTCTTCCTTGGAGAAATGTCTGTTGAGTTCTTTGGCCCATTTTTTGATTGGGTCATTTATTTTTCTGGAGTTGAGCTGGAGGAGTTGCTTGGGATGTTTCAAGAGAACAGCATTGAAACATGTATATTATCTAGGGTGAAACAGATCACCAGCCCAGGTTGGGTGCATGAGACAAGTGCTCGGGCCTGGTGCACTGGGAAGACCCAGAGGGATTGGGTGGAGAGGGAGGTGGGAGGGGGGATCGGGATGGGGAATACATTGAATCCATGGCTGATTCATGTCAATGTATGACAAAAACTACTGTAATGATGTAAAGTAATTAGCCTCCAACTAATAAAAATAAATGGAAAAAAAAAAAGAAAAAAAAAAAACAAAGGGACCTAGGTTGAGAAAACTTTAAAAAAATAAATAAACAAATAAATAAATAGAAAAAAAAATAAATAAATAAAAGATAACTAAAAAGAAAAATGAACAAAAATTTAGATAAACAGTTTCAAAATTAAGACATACAAACATTAATAAGTATTTCAGGTACCCAATCTCAGTTTTAATTATCAAAATATAAAGTCAAGACTTGCCCCCCAACACACACACACACCAAGTAACTACAATGAAAAAAACCAACACACCACCAAGTGTTATCAAGAATGAGCTGCCACCACAACCTCACTTAATGCTGATGGAAGTGCAAATTGGTACAATCTATTTGGAAGAGAATTTGATATTGCATAGTAAAATTGAAGATGGAGATATCCTAAAACCATGAAATTCCACTCTTGGGTATGTATGAAAGAGAAGGAAATGTATGTGCACAGGAAGAAACATATACAGGAATGATGAAAATAGTACTGTTCCAAATAACAAAAAAAAAACTATTCTTTCAAAAATAGCTTGCATGACTAATGTATGGTATCATACAATGTAGCAACTTACAGCAATGGAAGTGAACAAACAACCACCACCTAGAGCTGCCTAGATGATCTCACAAAGAAACAACTCTACAAAAGAGCCAGAAAAGAGAATACATAATGCATGAGGGCATCTATATAAAGTTCAAAAAGAGGCAAGACTAAAATCAAGTGTTAGAAAGATAACAGGGATCATTTTACTTCGAGAAGAAGGGAGAAGTGATGATGAACCTAATAACACAAAAGGAATTTCAGACAAGCTGGCAATGTTCTACTTCTGAATCTGGGAAGTGATACATAGGGGATTAGTTCCCAATAATTTCTTGGGCAGTATGCTAAGAGAATGTCAGCCAGAGAAAGACAAAGACTATATGATATCACTTATAAGCAGAATCTTAAAAAGTACAACAGTCTAGTGTATAAAACAAAAACGAAGCAGAATCACAGACGTAGAGAACAAGCTAGTTGTTACCAGTGGAAAGGGGGGAGAGGGGCAGTATGGAGGATGGGGAATGAGAGGTACAGACTCTTGGGTGTAAGATAGGCTCAAGGATGATTGGTACAGAACTGAGAATATGGCCAATATTTTGTAGTAACAGTAAATGGAAAGTAACCTTTAAAATTGTATTAAACTTTTTTAATTCAAAATAAACATAAATTTTAAAAAACTATCCCAGAACAATAAATAAATAAAGTGTTGACCTGTATACTATTTAAGCTAAGTGATGGGAGAATAGGCATTAATTTTATTAACATTCTTAACAGAATACGCATGTTTTATACATTCTTTTTATGGAAGATACATTAAAATAAAAACAAACATATTCATAAATTAATTTATTTTTAGAAAAAAATTATTAGGCACCATGTGTCCAATAGAGAATCTAAGTATTATTCCTATCTCTGTTCTCTGAGATCATTAAGTAAGACTGTGTCCCCTCCTACATGACTTCTGAAAGCAAAGCTTATGACCTCTGATCTGTTCTATCTTTATTTTTACTTATTTACTGGGACATACTATATTATATCCATAGGGACAGGGCTCAAATTAGAAAGTAGGGACTCCAGGACTGAGATGGACCAGTTCAGGGTAAAGGCTGGGAGGAGGGATCCACACTGCACCTCACCCAAGGGAGAAACCAGGGGTGCTGCCCATGGAGCCTGGTCCATCTGAATGGAGTCATCACTGATGCTGCAGCGACACAGAAGGCCACCGTCCAGAGGGGAGAGCTGGCAGGTTGGACAGTTGCCCCATCGTGTCTCTAACTAGGAGGTCTGGGAACAGATCCCAGGAGACACTGCCTGTGAAAAAGCAGCGGCTCCTCCTGGCTCCAGTGGCTGGGAATCTAATGACCTGAGTCTTCAGTCTGTGCTCTTTCTGCTCAGAGGGAAGGGCTCTGCGCCTCCAGCCCTTGTGACAACAGAGTAGCGAACCCAACCTCCTCCGAGGAAGCATCACAGATGGAGGCTGGTCAGCACCTCCAGGTGAGAACAGAGGCTTAGGAATGGGGAGGGAGTCTGCCCAAGGGCGCGCGCACACACACACACACACACACACACACGCTGACACATATACACAAGCAGCCTGGAGAACCACTTCCTCTTCATTTTGCCACTTTCCTCTACATCCCTATCTGCCAATCATTTTCTGGATCTTTGATGACCATGGGGGCACCCAGTTCTGGGGTTCATCACATCCCTGAAGGCGCAGGCTGAAGGCTCTGTGGAGAACGGGTCTCAGGGCACCCTTCCCCCAGCCCCATCAGTGACCAGCTCACAGCACCTGTGCAAGAACAGAGCATCATTGACCCTTGTCCAGTGGAAGAGCCTGGTTCCCAGAGTCACTCTCAGCCACCTTGCCGTGTCAATACCCATAATTTACTCTCTACGTCCATTTAGTTGCCAGCCTCAGTCACACCCTTCCTTTTTCACTAAACTTTGTTCTAAATCATTTAGGACAGAATTATTTATTCCTATAATAATATTATAATCAGGGAGCTTGTATGATTAAGTTATTTGACCCAGTTTCTACTTGGCTTCCAGCTGGCAAAACAAAAGTTTTGCCACTGACAGTTGTGAGTAGAGTCGGAGGTGGTGATGCTGTGCTGATATCGGTGACAACGACGATGACTTTTTATACTGACACCTCTCAACCTACAGGCCCAAGATGCAGGCAGTGACTGGAATCACAAAAACAACACCCTTTTAACTTTAAAAAAAAGTAGCAATAATAGATCATATTTATTAAGCACTTATATTATGTCATTCTTGATCTAAAACAGTCTATTTTTTTGTTTGTGCTGTGCTTAGTCACTTGGACGTGTCCAACTCTTTGTGAGCTTATGGGCTGTAATCCGGGCTCCTCTGTCCATGGGATTCTCCAGCAAGAATACTGGAATGGGTTGCCATGCCCTCCTCCAGGGGATCTTCCTAGCCCAGGGATAAAACCTAGGTCTCCCACATTACAGGCGGATTCTTTACCGTCTACCAGGGAAGCCCTGGTGTCTATAATTATTATCAAATTTAACCCTCATAACAACTCTGTATGGGAAACTCTATCATTATTCCATTTAAGCCAATAAAGAAACTGAAGCTGAAAATATTGGCAACCCTCTCAAGATCTCATCAAGAGTGAAGAGTGAAAAAATTCTGTCAGACTCCAGAAGTATATAATGCTTTTATTCATGACCCTAAGCAAATATGACATTGCCCCCTGCTGCCACTCACTGACCTGGCCTTCTTCCTCCAAACCATCATAGCTCCTTCGAATTTCACATCTTGGCAGCATATCATGAATCCTGAAGAAACCACAGCCAATCCCAGCATTTGGCCTCTTCAACAGTCCTGTCAGGTAAGTTATGATCTGTCTCTGATAGAAGAAAAGCAAACTTCAATGGGAGCAAAAATATCCCAAAGATTAAAGGCACGTGAGGAGCTCAGCAGTAAAGCACATCCTCCAGCACTTTTTCACCACATCCTGGGCCCCAGGTTCACATTGCATCACCTGCTACTAACAATGACAATAACATCATTGCCCTTAGAAGCAGCCTGCCCACCACATATGTTGTCCCAGTTATAACTTCAATGAGTCTATGAAGTAGTTGCACATGGTACAAAGCAGGACACAGAGATTCAGTGGACAGTAATTAATCAAAGGCAGATTGAGCATAAGGAACAGAGAAAAAAATTCCTATCCCATGTCCAGATTCCAAAGCTCAGATGTTAAAACATAAGATATTGATGGGCAGGTTGATGATGAGAATGAAAATGATGTGCCCTTAATGAGAAGGTGCTTTTCAGTTCACAGGGTTCTCATAGCCACACTAATGCATGGAAATGGTTCAACGCGAAGAGGGCCAGAACACTCCCATCAGAGATCCCTAAGTCTCAGTGGGCTCCTCTCTGAAGTAACTAATCCTCCTTCCATCTTCCTCAACATGTGCTCAACACTCACACACACACACACACAGCTCCTTGTTTTTCCCCCTAAATCCTAGTATATGCATGACCCCAAAATGAGCTCCACAATAAGACAGTGAAATTTAAATGGCTGTTCTAAATTAGGAGTTTGGAATTAACATATACATACTACCATATATACCTGGAGGAGGGCATGGCAACGCACTCCAGTATTCTTGCCTGGAGAATCCCCATGGACAGAGGACTCTGGGCTATAGTCCATGGGGTCACAGAGTTGGACACAACTGAGCAACTAAGCGCGTGCACACACACACACTACTGCGTATAAAATAAATAACCAATGAAGACCTACTGTATAGCACAGGGAGCACTGCTCAATGTGATGTGGCAGCCTGGATTGCTGGGGAGTTTGGTGGGTAATGGATACAGGTATATATATATGGCTGAGTCCCTTTGCTGTCCACCTGAAACTATCACAACACTCTTAATCGGCTATACTCCAATATAAAAAAGAAAGTTTAAAAAAACAAGGACCTACTAGCACAGAAAACTCCACTCAATATTGTGTAATCAACTATATGGGGAAAGAATCTGAAAAAGAATGGATATATATACATATGTATATGCATAACTCAATCACTTTGCTGTATAGCTGAAACTAGCACAGTAATATAAATCAGCTATACTTCAATATAAAATAAAAATTAAATCACAAACAAAAATGATTGTTCTATCATTTTTTAAAAAGGAAATTAAATTTGAAGAGATTTTTTCCAACTAAATTCCAGTTCAGTCTCATTCAGATCACCCATGTGGAAAGCATGCCACATTACAGGATTCTAGAACCCAAACTACATCTCTACCCTGATGTTGTCTCATCAGCGTTCACAGTCCTATTTGTACATATTTGCAAACCAGCATTTACACCCACTAATGGAACTCAGTGACCTCTTCAAGGAATAGAGAAAAACAAACCAAAGTCCATGGACTCTGTAACATTGCAAGCCTATCTTTATTTAAATAAGATCTGCTCTAATTTCTCTGCTTTTGAAGGAAATTAGAAACAGTACCAGCATCTCTGACTTCCTGCTCCTGGGCTTCTCTCAGCACCCAGAGCAGCAGCCTCTCCTGTTTGGGCTCTTCCTGGCCGTGTACCTGGTCACCGTCCTGGGGAACCTGCTCATCATCCTGGCCATCAGCTCTGATCCCCACCTACACACCCCCATGTACTTCTTCCTGGCCAACCTGTCCTTCACCGACACCTGCTTCTCCTGCGCTATCATCCCCAAGGTGCTGCTCGACATCCACACACAGCACTACACCATCTCCCACACTGGGTGCCTCATGCAGATGTTCTTCTTCATGGAATTGGCCCTGCTGGATGACTTCCTGCTGGCTGTGATGGCCTATGACCGCTATGTGGCCATCTGCCTTCCCCTCCACTACACCACCATCATGGGGCCCCAGCGCTGCCTGCTGCTGGTCACCGCATCCTGGCTCAGCTCCTACCTCCTGGCCTTCTGCCTCTGCCTCCTCATGTCTCAGTTCTCCTTCTGTGCCTCCCATGCCATCCCACACTTCTTCTGTGACCTTCTCCCTCTCCTCAAACTTGCCTGCTCAGACACTCGCATCTTTCAGCTCATGATGTTTGCAGAGGCAGCCCTCTCAGGAGTGGTCCCTCTCACCTGTGTCCTGGTCTCTTATGCCCACATCATCCACACCATCCTCAGGATCCCCTCTGCTGGGGGGAAGCACAAAGTCTTCTCTACCTGCGGCTCTCACCTGACAGTGGTCACTCTCTTCTATGGAACTGTCTTTCTAGTGTATTTCCAGCCCTCATCCTCCTACTCAGCAGACACTGGAGTAGTGGCATCTGTGGTGTACACAATGGTCACCCCCATGTTGAACCCTTTTATCTACAGCCTGAGGAACAGCGACATGAAGGGAGCTTTGTGGAGACTCCTTGGCTGGGGAAGATGTAGTAATGTAGTGTTAGTCACGTCAGTTGTGTCCAACTCTTTGCGATCCCACAGACTGTAGCCTGCCAGGCTCCTCTGTCCATGGGATTCTCCAGGCAATAATACTGGAATGGATTGCCATTCCCTTCCCCAGAGGATCTTTCCAACCCAGGGATGGAACCCGGGTCTCCTGCGTTGCAGGAAGTTTCTTTACCGTTTGAGCTACAGGGAAGATTTCCCACCCCATAAAAAGTCCTTCCCCAGAGTAGAGCTCCAGGCTTTTCAATGTGCCTTCTTCTCTAGATTTGTCCATTATAAATTTGAAAGACTCACATTCAAAACATAATGGGTGCTTAGTTTTCAGAGCAGATGCATGAAAATAAAGACTCAGATTTGCAGAACAGCAATAGGGGCATTTGGAGAGGGTGGGGGGACCAGCAGTCCCCACAGGGTGACTTGATGTGTGGATATATGTATCCAGGCAGAGTCAATCCAGAGTTGGGAACATCAAAAATACCAGCAAACATTTCACTTCTAAGAGAAAGGCCAATAGGAGCAGTGTAGGTTACAAATTCTTCTCCAATAACAAAAAATTCTGGCAAGACTAGACAGGTCAGTACATCAGTCAAGTCACTGGGCTGCAGGGACCAATTCTGACCCTACCTTGGAAGAAACTCTTTCATGGGGACTGGACTTGATGTGGAGAATGTCATATCAAGTAGGAAAAATCTGTATGTGGCCTGAGTGTGTGTGTTTATGTTCAGTGGTTCAATCATGTCCAACTCTTTGGGACCTTTTGGACTGCAGCCTGTCAGGATCCTATGTCCATGGAATTAACCCAGCAAGAATACGGGAGTGGATAGGCGTTTGCGATCAAACCCAGTCTCCTGCATTGCAAGTGGCTTGTTTTACTGCAAGTCACCGAGGAACTCGATGTAGATTGCAAGGGCAAGAATATTTTAGAAAAGGGAGCTGGGCACAAAAAAAGAAAGAATTTTTCCAGTTTCATACATCTGGACTTAGATCTCTGTCTCTGGTAGGTTATTTGGCTTTTTGTTCTTGTTCAGTTCAGTTCAGTTCAGTTACTCAGTCATGTCCGACTCTTTGTGACCCCATGGACTGCAGCATTCCAGGCCTCGCTGTCCATCACTAACTCCCGGAGTTTACTCAAACTCATGTCCATTGAGTCGGTGATGCCATCCAACCAACTCATCCTCTGTGATCCCCTTCTCCTGCCATCTTCAATCTTTCCCAGNCATGATGTACTCTGCATATAAGTTAAATAAGCAGGGTGACAATATACAGCCTTGACGTACTCCTTTCCCAATTTGGAACCAGTCTGTTGTTCCATGTCCAGTTCTAACTGTTGCTTCTTGACCTGCATACAGATCTCAGGAGACAGGTCAGGTGGTCTGGTATTTCCATCTCTTTCAGAATTTTCCCAGTTTGTTGTGATCCGCACAGTCAAGGCTTTGGCATAGTCAATAAAGCAGAAATAACATGTTTTCTGTAACTCTCTTGCTTTTTCAATGATCCAGCAGATATCGGCAATTTGATTTCTGGTTCCTCTGCCTTTTCTAAAACCAGCTTGAACATCTGGAAGTTCACAGTTCACACATTGCTGAAGCCTGGCTTGGAGAATTTTGAGCATTACTTTACTAGTGTGTGAGATGAGTGCAATTGTGTGGTAGTTTGAGCATTCTTTCGCATTGCCTTTCTTTGGGATTGGAATGAAGACTGAGCTTTTCCGGTCCTGTGGCCACTGCTGAGTTTTCCAAATCTGCTGGCATATTGAGTGCAGCACTTTCACAGCATCATCTTTTAAGATATGAAAGAGCTCAAATGGAATTCCATTACCTTCACTAGCTTTTTTCGTAGTGATGCTTCCCAAGGCCTACTTGACTTCGCATTCTAGGATGTCTGGCTCTAGGTGAGTGATCACACCATCGTGATTATCTGGACTGTGAAGATCTTTTTTGTATAGTTCTTCTGTGTATTCTTACCATCTCTTCTTAATATCACCTGCTTCTGTTAGGTCCATACCATTTCTATCCTTTGTTGTGCCCATCATTGCATGAAATGTTCCCTTGGTATCTCTAATTTTCTTGAAGAGATCTCTAGTCTTTCCCATTCTGTTGTTTTCCTCTATTTCTTTGCAATGATCACTGAGGAAGGCTTTCTTAACTCTCCTTGCTATTCTTTGGAACTCTGCATTCAAATGGGTTTATCTTTCCTTTTCTCCTTTGCCTTTCACTTCTCTTTTTTTCATAGCTGTTTGTAGGGCCTCCTCAGACAGCCATTTTGCCTTTTTGCATTTCTTTTCTTGGGGTGGTCTTGATCCCTGTCTCCTGTACAATGTCACAAACCTCCAACCATAGTTCTTCAGACACTCTATCAGATCTAATCCCTTGAATCTATTTGTCACTTTCACTGTATAGTCACAAAGGATTTGATTTAGGTCATATTTAAATGGTCTAGTGGTTTTCCCTACTTTCTTCAATTTTAGTCTGATTTTGGCAATAAGGAGTTCATGATCTGAGCCACAGTCCTCCCAATCTTGTTTTTGCTAACTGTATAAAGCTTCTCCATCTTCAGCTGCAAGGAATATAATCAATCTGATTTTGGTGTTGACCATCTGGGGATGTCTATGTGTAGAGTCTTCTCTGTGTTTTTGGAAGAGGGTGTTTGCTATGACCAGTGCGTTCTCTTGGCAAAACTCTATTATCCTTTGCCCTGCTCCATTCGGTACTCCAAGGCCAAATTGGCCTGTTACTCCAGGTATTTCTTGACTTCCTACTTTTGCATTTCAGTCCCCTATAATGAAAAGAACATCTTTTTTAGGTGTTAGTTCTAGAGGGTATTGTAGGTCTTCATAGAGCCGTTCAACTTCAGCTTCTTCAGCATTATGGGTCAGGGCATAGACTTGGATTACTGTGATATTGAATGGTTTACCTTGGAAATGAACAGAGATCATTCTGTCGTTTTTGAGATTGCATCCAAGTACTGCATTTCAGACTCTTTTGTGGACTATGATGGCTACTCCATTTCTTCTAAGGGATTCTTGACCACAGTAGTAGATATGATGGTCATCTTTGTTAAATTGTTGTTGTTAGCTGTGAGCTATTTTCATTTTTTAAACTGTTGTCTATTTTTTCTCCAATTGAAAAATTATTTATGTGTTTATAGTAAATGTCTAAAATATAAGGAAAAATTTTCAAATCCCTTCCTGAAAGAATGTGTTATACAAATTCTTATGATCCTTTTCTCTATACATTTACTCTACATTGTTAAGATGATGATTTTTCATGTAATTTTAAAACATGAATGTTTCCACACTTTTGTTAAATTTTTATAAGCATTCTCATAATTAATATTATAGCAGAAGCCCCTGCCATGTTGTTCTGTCGCTCAGTCATATCTGACTCTTTGTGACCCCATGGCCTGCAGCACACCAGGCCTCCCTGTCCCTCACCAACTCCCAAAGTTTGCCTAAGTTCATATCCATTGTATTGGTGATGCCAGCCAGCCATCTCATCCTCTGATGCCCTCTTATCCTTCTGCCCTCAATCTTTCCTGGCATCAGGGACTTTTCCAACGAGCCAGCTGTTTGCATCAGGTGACCAAAATACTGGAGCTTCAGCTTCAGCATCAGTCCTTCCAATGAGTAGTCAGGGCTGATTTCCCTTAAGATTGATTTGTTTCAACTCCTTGCAGTCCAAGGGACCCTTGGGGTCTTCTCCAGCACCACAGTCGGAAGGCATCAATTCTTTGGCGCTCTGACTTCATTACCGTCCAGCTCTTAGAACTGTACATGACCACTAGGAAGACCATAGCCTTAACTGGCAGAGTAATGTCTCTGATTTTCAACACACTGTCTATAATCTTCCATTTGGGGGTAATTAGTTCTGTCAATTATTTTTAACTTTATAAATAATAATGCTATGAAGATCAGTGTGAATAAACCCTATATGTATAGATTTTCCCATGCCCTTCCAATAAATTTTAAGAAGTGGAATTGCTGTGTGAAAATTTTTTCAGGTTCATGAAATATGTTGCAAAAATAGTTTACAAGGACTTCCCTGGAGATCCAGTGGCTAAGACTCCATGCTTCCACTGCAGGGCTCATGGGTTAGATTCCTGGTCAGGGAACTAAGATCCCACATGCCACATGGCATGGTCAAATAAATGGATGTATTTTTTAATGAAGAAACTATCTATAAAAATAATAAAAATACATCTGTGTCTTTTTTTCTGTTTTGCATATAGGGTTATCATTACCATCTTTCTAAATTCCATATATATGTGTTAGTATACTGTATTGGCCTTTATCTTTCTGGATTACTTCACTCTGTATATTATCTAGGGTGAAACAGATCATCAGCCCAAGTTGGATTCATGAGACAAGTGCTGGGGCCTGGTGCACTGGGAAGACCCAGAGGGATCGGGTAGAGAGGGAGGTGGGAGGGTAGATCGGGATGGGGAACACATGTAAATCCATGGCTGATTCATGTCAATGTATGACAAAAACCACTACAATATTGTAAAATAATTAGCCTCCAACTAATAAAAATAAATGGAAAAAAATAATAATAAAAATTTATAAAACTGTTATTAATGATTTACATCCCAACTGACAGTTCCATGAGGATGTTCCTTTCTCTGCATTCTTTGTGTTCCAATTTTTTACTCAATTGTCACAAATATAATAAGTGAAAAATAGTACTTCTTTTCTTTGAATGTTTTGGATTACTGATTGTTTACTTAAATCCATGAATGCATTTTATTTATTTTTCTGTCAATTATTTCTTCGTGTCATTTGACTATTTTAAAGACTTGCATAAGTCTTTTTTATATTAAATATTTAAACTTTACACTTTACTACTCACATTGCAGCCTTTTCCCAATCACCATTTCATCCTTCGGTTTTCTTTTGGATTTTTAGACATAAATAAGTTTTCAATTTACCTACATGAAACTAATAAAAATAATCCTCCTTGTGACTTTTTTTTGACACTTGGTAACAATATTTTTTTAATATCATTTTATCTACACAGTACTTTACTGTTTAACAGAATACTGAAAATATAGTCCAACATCCCAGTTTTAAGTGCAATAATCAGAACCACCATTGTATTTAGGAAGTGAGAGTGAAAGTGAAAAGTCGCTCAGTCGTGTCTGACTCTTTGCGACCTCATGGACTGTAGCCCACCAGGCTCCTCCATCCATGGAATTTTCTAGGCAAGAGTACTGGAGTGGGTTGCCATTTCCTTCTCCACTCCTCGTGACTCTTCAGCATGTGTTATCATTGGAAAATCCTTCCCTATGCAGTTCATGTGAATAATAAATTGCTTTTTATATTTCAGTATGATACTATTTTAATAACAGTTTTATTGAGATATAATTCATATACTATAAAATTCCTTTTTATAGTTTGTAATTTAGTGGCTTTTAGTAGGCAGCGTGGTTTTTTTTTAGTGAAACAGTATATGATTTTAGAATGATAATAAATGTTGAAGTGGCTCTCTCCCTCACATCTCTCACTCTCTGCAAGAGTTTCCTCTCCATTTTCTGTCCCATAATTATTAAAAACAAGATGCTGACTATGTCTGAGCCCTCACTCACTCATATATATCATACACAGTTCCCCTCAGGGCCTTTCTCTCTAGCATTATTTTCCCCTCTGTGGCTTCTTCCTCTACTCCAGGCCCACACAGGGTAAGTTTCATGTCATGTGCAAAAAGTAGCTTCTCACACTAGCCCACTTTAATCACCTGGATATGATCTGTTTTTCTTGTGAGCATCATTATCCGTTTATCTAATCTTCCTATTTCTGCCCTAAAGATGGCCACTCTTCCCATTTCCATTCAGAATTGTACTAGAGGCTCCAGTCAGCACAATTAAGTAAGAAAAAGAGCTAGAAGGCAATTGGACTGTAAAGAGGGCTTCCCTGGTGGCTCAGAGGTAAGAATCTACTTGCCAATTCAAGAGATACAAGTTGGATCCCTGGGTGAGGAAGGCATGGCAATCCACTCCAGTATTCTTGCAAATCCCATGGGCAGAGGAGCCAAGCAGGTTATAGGCCATGGAGTCACAAAAGAGTTGGACACAACTTAGTGACTAAAACAACAACAGCAGCAGATTGTAAAGAAGTAAAACTATTTCTACTTGCAAATGACAGGTGCTATAGACTTTTGAACTCCTAAAACATCAACCAAAAAAACTATTAAAACTAACAAACAATTTGAATTCAATGCAATCTCTGTCAAAATCCGGATAGGGTGCAGTCCATGGGGTCACAGAGTCAGACATGACGGAGCAACTGAACAACACCTTTTTTGCAGATAATGACAACCTGATCCAAAAGCTCACATAGAAATGCAAGGGAACCAGAATAATCAATACATTCTTTAAAAAGAAGAGCAATGTCAAAAGACTCATACTTCATGATTCCAAAACTTACTACAAAGCTTCAGTAATTAAGGCAATGCTGCACTTCATAGGAAAAGATGTTCAACATCGCTAATCATCAGGGAGGGCAAATCAAAATGACAATGAGATACCACCTCTCACTTGTCAGAATGGCTATTATCAAAAAGAACACAGATAACAAATGTTGGCTAGGATGTGAAGGAAAAGCAACCCTTCTACATCGTTGGTGGGAATATTAATTGGTACAGCCACTATAGAGAATAGCATGAAGGTTTCTCAAAAAAAGAAAAATAGAACTACCATGTGATCCAAAAATTCTACTCCTGGATTTGAATTCTACACTAATTCAAAAAGATCCATGTACCTCAGTATTCATAGCAACATTATTTACAATTGCCAACATATGGAGGTGACCTCAGTGTCTGTCAACAGATTAATGGATAAAGAAGATGTGGTATACACATACAATGGAATATTATTCAGTTATTTTTTAAAATGAAATTTTGCCATTTGCAGCAACATGGATGGACATTAAAGGCATTATGCTAAATGAAATGTCAGACAAAGAAAGACAAATATCATATGATATCACTTGGATATGGAATCTAAAAAATACAAGAAACTATTAAATATAAAAAAAATGCAGACTCAGATATAGAAAACAAACTAGTAGTTTTCAGTGGGAGAAGAAAGTGTAGGGAATCAAGAGGTGCACGCTATTAGGTACAAAATAAGCTACAAGGATATGTTGTACAACACAAGGAATATAATCAATATTTTATAATAACTGTAAATGAAGTAAAACCTTTAAAAATTGTGAATCACTATATTGTACATCTGTAACATAATATCATATAGCAACTATACTGCTGGTCCTTTAATGTACCGGAACCTGGTGGTCCGGAGTCGACGATGAGAAAGTGAAAGAAGGAAAGAGGCTAATATTCCCTAGGTTATGCAGCCGGCTTCCGCGCTCCCGGGAATCAGCCAGAAATAGAGAGAGAGAGAGAGAGAGAGAGAGAGAGAGAGAGAGAGAGAGAGACACGGGGACCAAACTCTGATGGAGCAAAGGTGTTTTAATCAACATGGTGTGGGCACATATACTGTCTTACAAGGTAGTGAGAGGGTAACAGGCAGGAAGGCCAGGGGTCTCCAAACGGAGGAAAGAGGGTGCACGTGCCAGAGATTTTTGTCTAGGAAGAAACAAACCAGCGATCTGTTTTTCCTTCTCTATACAAATTTAAAAGAAGGTTTCTCTTAACACGCTGTGTGGCCATGACACCTGGTCTCACCTAAAGCTAACTATTCTCAAACCTTGAGTTAACCAATACATTTCTTTTTCTTATGGAAATGTTGTCTTTTGCTATGTTAATGAACCCCAGACTCTATCTTCAAGTTGGTTCCGCCAAACGGCCTAACTTACTCAGGTATTGTTCCCGTAATCTATGTAAACGGAACTATTTGTTGATATTCTGCCCTTCTACAAGATTCAAGTCAATCATTTTATGGCCAGGGATGAATTATCTGGTGCCACTCTAAATTTTATGACACCCGCCCGCGCGCTCCTCCTCCTCCTCTTTCCCCGGCGACGCGCACGCGCGCCAAGCCGGCTCGCGCCCTCTCGCTTTCTCCGGCCCGCGAGACCCCCTCCCCTTCCGCCTCGCGGTGCTTCCTCGCGCCGCGGTCTTCTCTATCCACCCCCGACACCGCGGGGCTTGCCCCCGCCCGCCAACGGCGGGTCCCCAGCTTCCCAGTCCCCTTCGCTTCCCGCGCTCTCTGGAGGGGGCCCAGCCCCGGCCTCCTCTCTCCCTCCCTTCCCCCTAATTCCCCTTAAAAAAAATAATAATAAATTTTATGACATTCCTTTCATTTCATTAACAGACTGTGAGTGACTATATAACATACAGCTAAAGACTAGGAGGGGGGTACTCTTTTGCCCCCTTCTGATGCCTATGTCAGAAACTTTCTCTGTCTTCTTTATACTTTAATAAAACTTTATTACACAAAAGCTCTGAGCAATCCAGCCTCGTCTCTGGCCCCGGATTGAATTCGTCTCCTCCGGAGGCCAAGAATCCCGCATCTTATCGTTCAGCAGCAACCTTTCAGTAGTTATTCTCAGCAAAGATAAAGATTAAAATTCCAGACTTATAAAACACAAGGCAATCCCTATTAAAGAGAGAAGAGGGTACTTATCACCATAATGAGAAACTAACAACGGAAATGCCTGGATTCCTCAGCCACGGGAAAGGCGGGAAAGGCGGGAAAGGCGAGCCTCTCCTCTTAATTCCTGAATATTCAGGATTTAATAAGGGCCAGAGGTTTCCTGACAAATCCAAAACAGCACACAGGAAACCTCCTGTTAATGCTTCCTGACACTATACTTCAATTTTTAAAAGTACAATGCCATACAGCATAAGGCCAGACATAAAGATCAAAGGAATACAACTGAGAGTCCACAAATAAACCTTCACATTTATGGGCAATTTATTATTAATAAGGCTGCAATTCAGGACAATTCAGTGGGGAAAAAACATTGTTTTCAACAAGCAGTGCTGGGTCAACTAGACAACCAAATGCAAAAGAATTAACCTGAACCTTTACTTCACATACATATAAAAATTAACTCAAAGTCAAAGCTAAAACTACAAAATGTTTAGAAGACAGTGTGAGAATGAATCTTTGTGATCTTAGATTAATCAATGGTTTCTTAGGTATGACACCAAAAACATAAGCAGTAATATTAAAAAAGGGATAAATGGGACTTCATCAAAATCACCAAGTTTTGCACTTCAAAAGATACCATCAGGAGACTGAATAGACAACCCACTGAAAGGTGAAGCATCTATACAAATCACATATCTAATAAGATATTTGTATAAGAATATATAAAGAACTCTTACACCTCAACAATAAGACTAATAGCCCAATTTTTAAATGCACAAAGGATCTAAATAAATGCTTCCCCAAAGAAAAAGATACAAACAACCAATTAGCACATGAAAGCTCTTTAGCAACATTAATCATCAGAGAAGTGCAAATCAAAAACACACTAAGGGACTTCCCTGGTGATCCAGTGGTTAAGACCCTTCACACCCACCATATGCAGGGGCCCCAGGTTCAATCCCTCATGCCACATGCCACAACTAAGACCTGGCTCAGCCAAATTAAACACACACACACACACAATGAGATACTACTTCACCTCCACTAGGATGGTTTAAAAAATGAACAATATCAAAATGTTGCCAAGGCATGAGAGAAGGGTGAACCCTTCTACATTGGTGAAAATGAAAGTAAAATTTCCTCAGTGCTTTGTGACTATAGCTTGCCAGTCTCCTCTGTCCATGGAATTCTCTAAGCAAGAATACTGGAGTGGGTATCCATTGCCTTTTCCAGGGGATCTTCCCCACCCAGGGATCGAACTCAGGTCTCCTGCATTTAATGAGATTTTAAAATAACATAGGCACTTTGGAAAACATCAGCAGTTTCTCAAAAACTTAAACATAGTGTTTCCACACGATTCAACAATTCCATTCCTCAGCATATAACTAAGAAAATGTATCTTCAGACAAAAGCCTGTACATGAATGTTCATAATAGCATTATTCATAGTAACGAAAGAATAGAAACAATCCCAAAACTCACAACTGTTCCAAATTTTTTTTAACTATTATGTCAGTTCAAGGCATATGATAAACAAATGCCAAAACATAATTAGTGGAAAAAAATAGGGAAGATGCTTGTGAACAATAAAGGGGAATAGGAAAGTTCCACAAACCTCCCCCGCACTTACAGAAAGCATAGTTCAGCTGCTGCAGAGAAGGACAGGAATTCTCTGAATAAGCAGGGGGACTTGCTTACAAGGCTTGTCTTAGTTGCCACAAGTAGATATCCACCCACGCTGGCCAGGATCTTAGAAGTTTAAACAGTGGGTTCATACATGCACACCGTTCAGATGCTCTCAACAACACATTATCCACTCATTGTTGTTTAGTCTCTAACTAGTGTCCAACTCTTTGTGACCCCACGGCCTGCAGCATGCCAGGCTTCCCTGTCCTCCACTATCTCCCAGAGTTTGTTCAAATTCGTGTCCATTGAATCAGTGATACCATCTAACCATCTCACTCTCTGTCACCCGCTTCTCCTCCTGCCCTCAATCTTTCCCAGCATCAGGGTCTTTTCCAATGATGCAGCACTTGACATAAGGTGGCCAAAGTACTGGAGCTTTAGCTTCAGTATCAGTCCTTCCAATGAATATTCAGGGTTTTTTTCTTTTAAGGGTTGACTGATTTGATCTCCTTGCAGACCAAAGGACCCACAAGAGTCCTCTAGCACCACAATTCAAAAGCATCAATCCTTCGGTGTTCAGTCTTCTCTCACTGCTCTCTTGAAAATGGCGCCCACTTGAGCAGAGTGTATATTTCAAGGACAGAGGAGGAGATGAGGTACTTCTAATCAATCAGGTTCGATTCACAGGTCAATCAGAAGTCACGCCCTCTCTGTGACCTCCCCCCACTGTACCTGAACAGGCCGTCCAGGGCAAACTCCCACCCAGCCATATCCTCCTCCACAAGCCTGCTTCTTGTTTGTAGAAAATCTTTAGACTCCTAGGCCTTCCTCAAGACCCAAAAATAAATAGAATCAGAGAAGTGAGAAAATGCAGAAATAAAACAATCAAGCCAGACAAAATGATAATAATTCAACCATTCACCAAAGTCAAGGATCTTTAGTTCCTCCTCAAGGGCTATAGATAATATTCTGAGCCATATCCTTTAAGTTGTTTTGCAGACACTGAAACCCCCACCAGGTGTAAAAAGTTAACTGCATGCCGCCCACAAGCACAGAGACTCCAGACAGATTGGAACCAGAAGGTTGATGATGCTGACTCCTCATTACCTCACCACCAACCAATCAGAATATCCACAAGCTGATCACATACACAGCAACCCTCTCCCTCACCCTGTCTTTAATATTTATTTTTATTTATTATTTATTTGGCTGTGGTGGGTCTCAGCTGTGGCATATGGATTATTTAGTTGTGGCATGTGGGATCTAATTTCCTGACCAGTGAACAAATGCAGGCCCCCTGTATTGGGAGCACAGAGTCTTAGCCACTGGACTACCAGGGAAGCCCCCTCACCCTGTCTTTAAAAGCCTTTCCCCGAAAGCCACTACAGAGTTCAGGCTTTATGAGCATTGGGTACTTTGAACACTTTGTAAAGGTCCAGCAAGAGGCTTTACTGCATGGGGATGGTTCCTATCTGGCTGTTTTGGAGGCAGATGTCACCGAAGCAGTATAGGCACATGCAAGAGAAAACACACATTAGGATAATAATTCCAAAAAATAAGGAACAAATTTTTCCACCAAAGGCCCCATGATCTGAACTACTGATTTATTAAGTCCCCTAAGCTTGACATCAGCTCACTAGGGCCATTGTGTCCTCGTGTGATTTAATAAAATGATACACTAATAGACTCATCAGGTACAGGAACACAACACTCTGGATGTTCCTTGCAAGGCAGTAATAATGTCCAGGCCATCCTGTTTTAGATGATTGCTTTTCTCATTAGATTCAGTGTTCAGAAAAGACAGATTTTGCCAGCTACCATTTAACACTTGTTGGGAGAATTTAGTAAGGGCTTCTATGTGTGTTATAATGACCTCCAGGCCAATAGAGGGGAAAAGGATGGTGGCCAAATAATTGTACCAATGGAAAACAGAATGTGTCCATGTGGCCTTGAGAAGAGGGAGGTTGGCAACTTTTTTTAACCCTGTGTCCAGGTAAAACACAGGGTGTAGCATCCCAATGACCCAGGTAGAAGCCATAGCTGAAGATTTGTGACACACAATCACTGGGTCCCACTGGGGGTCACTCAGTAAACACCTGAGTGGTACAAACAGTTGGTGTAAGTCACCATCATTTAATGTGACAGAATGACTATGTGGTTTTGATGATATCCATCCCATATCCCTGATGCAGTTTCATTAGTTCTAACTCCTTGCAAGCTCCAGGGGAAAGGGGACTATGGCTCTTTGGTGCATCGTTAAGACATTTAACTTAAGCCCACAACACAGTAAAGTGCAATAGAAATTATGTGAACTAATGAACACTTGGCCAACATGAATGAGAGATTAGCTGTAAGACACACCATAGAACTGAGGTGATCCCAGATTGCTCTCACCCCACAGCCATCAACTCTCCCCAGACTGAGCTACTCAGCTCCACCTTCAGGCTCAGCCCCCTTCTCACCCATTAAGGAATGGTTCTCAATCCTACATGAACACTGAAAGTGGTTTTCAATCCTGAGGGTTTTAAAAATCACCAGTGCCTGGGTCAACTTCCAAGAGTTTTGATCTAATTTCCAGAGAGCTGACTTCATGTCCAGTCCTGGCCTCAGGTTGCTTCCAGTCTGGCACGGCATCAGTCACAATTGATAGCTTGTGGTGAATGATGTCGGATTCCTGACCTCCAAAGAAGATTTAGCTTTGGGACCAGGGACCAGGCTTGATCATTCAAGAGCTTTTGTGTAGCAGAGTTTTATTAAGTATAAAAAGGGACAGAGAAAGCTTCTGACATAGACATCAGAAGGGGGACAAAGAGTGCCCCCCTCGCTAGTCTTAGCAAGGCTTTATATACTTTTATCAGACCCACTCCCACAACATACATCTTCAGATAACAGGATTAGAGCTAACAACAGAAAGATCTTACCAGACCCACTCCCACAGTATACAAGTTTTAAGATAACAAGATTAGTCAGGAGGTTCTTGTTCAGTTCAGTTCAGTTCAGTTCAGTCGCTCAGTCGTGTCTGACTCTTTGCGACTCCATGAATCACAGCATGCCAGGCCTGCCTGTCCATCACCAACTCCTGGAGTTTACTCAAACTCACGTCCATTGAGTAGGTGATGCCATCCAGCCATCTCATCCTCTGTCGTACCCTTCTCCTCCTGCCCCCAATCCCTCCTAGCATCAGGGTCTTTTCCAATGAGTCAACTCTTCGCATGAGGTGGCAAAGTATTGAAGTTTCAGCTTCAACATCAGTCCTTCCAATGAACACCCAGGACTGATCTCCTTTAGGATGGACTGGTCGAATCTCCTTGCAGCCCGAGGGACTCTCAAGAGTCTTCTCCATCACCACAGTTCAAAAGCATCAATTCTCCAGAGCTCAGCTTTCTTCACCCTCCAACTCTCACATCCATACATGACCACTGGAAAAACCATAGCCTTGACTAGATGAACCTTCGTTGGAAAAGTAATGTCTCTGCTTTTCAATATGCTATCTAGGTTGGTCATAACGTTCCTTCCAAGGAGTAAGCGTCTTTTAATTTTGTGGCTGCAATCACCATCTGCTGTGATTTTGGAGCCCAAAAAAATAAAGTCTAACACTATTTCCACTGTCTCCGCATCTATTTCCCATGAGGTGATGGGACCCGATGCCATGATCTTAGTTTTCTGAATGTTGAGCTTTAAGCCAACTTTTTCACTCTCCTCTTTCACTTTCATCAAGAGGCT